TGACCTGAAAAGGGTAAGAATTCCTACTGTAAAACAAGTACCGGATTTTTAAAAATCTTTGGTGCTCATCCTATAGCTTCTATGGGTCTATATTTTATACAAATTTGGGATTAGGTTCAACAAATGAGAAGATTCTATTTTCCAAACTACTGGAAGACTCAAAAGAATGTTTAAAAATGCTGTAGGAGCGGGGCGCCTGGGTGGCTCAGTCGTTAGGCGTCTGCCTTCGGCTCAGGTCATGATCCCAGCGTCCTGGGATCGAGCCCCGCATCGGGCTCCCTGCTCCGTGGGAAGCCTGCTTCTCCCTCTCCCACTCCCCTGCTTGTGTTCCCTCTCTCGCTGTGTCTCTCTGTCAAATAAATAAATAAAATCTTTAAAAAATAAAAAATAAAAAATAAAAAAATAAATAAAAATGCTGTAGGGGCGCCTGGGTGGCTCAGCCACTTAAGCGTCTGACTTGGTTTCGGGCTCAGGTCATCTCAGGGTTGTGAGATGGAGCCCCACATCAGGCTCCATGCTCAGTGGGGAGTCTGCTGGAGACTCTCTCTCCCCCTTTCCCTTTGCCCTTCCCCCCACTCAAGCACTTTCTCTTGCTCTCTCTAAAATAAATAAATCTTTAAAAAAAAAAAATGGAACCAGCTGAGAAAAGGAAACTTTACCCCAACCTATCAAACTAAGATCGAACAGAATATCCAGTAGAAATGAAGTACTTTTTCATTTTATAAGAAGAAACATCTACCATTAGACCTAACCATGATTCTGACATAACAATATATCCATAAATTACTGTTAAAGAAAAAAAATCCAAGTTATAGAACATGATGCTACCATTATAGAAACAGTGTATTCATATATGCATAGATGGGTAAGTCCAGAAAAACTTCTAGAAAGATACAGTACTAATCAGGGATTTTTCGGCTATAACCAGCAAGAACTCATCATGGCTATCAAAAAATAAAGTTTATTATAAAATTCTAGGGAAGGTCACAAAACTGAGGAGAGGGGAGGATCAGTTTCTGCAAGTGGACAGGAAATGGCAGCCACAGGGCACCAGGGACCCAGGGCAGCCACAGGAATGGTCTAAGAAGAAGCTGCCCCAAAAAAGAAGACACCATTTGGCGACAGGCCTCTCGATGCCACCACAAATATGCAAACTAACCCTTGACATGTGTTTGGTTCCACAACATTCTAAGTCCTTTGGCAGAATCATCCAAAAAACCAAGAATTTCTTTGGTCACAGATACTTTCGGTATCACGGTCTACTTAGAAGATTTATTTCGAAGCAGTAGGAGATGATGACAGACATTCTTTTGGAGGGGACAGATTGTATGGATTAGCTAGGTACAAGAAATCCGTATTTTATAAAAATAAAATGGCAGAGAAAGGGAGTCTTCTGCCAAAAGTGGATGTTTAAAATACTATAGAGGGCGCCTGGGTGGCTCAGATGGTTAAGCGTCTGCCTTTGGCTCAGGTCACGATCCCAGGGTCCTGGGATCGAGTCCCGCATCGGGCTCCCTGCTCCTTGGAAGCCTGCTTCTCCCTTGCCTCTCTCTCTCTCTGTCTTTCATGAATAAATAAATAAAATCTTTAAAAAATAAAATAAAATACTATAGAGCAATTTTACTATTGTTGCTGAAAAGAAAGAATTTCTGGATATTGTGAAGTGAGTTCTAAAACTGCTCATGTCCTACATATTGGTTAAAATACAATCAGATACCGGTCCATGCAATTTCAAAAAGGCAGGAAGCAAGCCTACAACAGAACTGGGGGAACAGGACCGCTGAAGAGATAAGGACCCTTCCCTATCTTGACAACTCAAAGGTATTTCTTTGAAAGGCTAAACAAAAGAAAAAGATAAAATTGCAAATAAGGAAATGTAATTAAATGACTGATATTTCAAAATCAATTCTATCATAGGGCGCCTGGGTGGCTCAGTTGTTAAGCGTCTGCCTTCAGCTCAGGTCATGATCCGGGGGTCCTGGGATCGAGCCCTACATCGGGCTCCCTGCTCCGCGGGAAGCCTGCTTCTCTCTCTCCCACTCCCCCTGCTTGTGTTCCCTCTCTCACTGTGTCTCTGTCAAATAAATAAATAAAATCCTTTTAATTTTTATTTTTTTATTTTTTAAGATTTCATTTATTTATTCATGAGCGACAGATGGGGGGAGAGACAGAGAAGCAGAGGGAGAAGCAGGCTCCCAAGGAGCAGGGAGTCCGATGCGGGACTCGATCCCAGGACCCTGGGATCATGACCTGAGCCGAAGGCAGATGCTTAACCATCTGAGCCACCCAGGCGCCCTAAATAAATAAAATCTTAAAAAAAAAAGTCAATTCTATCTTAAAATAAAATGAGTTTCCATCTTAAAGCCCCCTCCCAAAAAAAAGTTTAAAAAATGAGAAGTAAAGCAGTGATTTTTATTTCCTTGGGCAAATATGCCATAGTAGGTTGAATCCTTAAAAATATCTCCTAAAACAAAGGATCTCACATGAGTTCATACTTCAACACTTAAAATAGAGCAGAGAGCCCAATGCGGGGCTCGATCCCAGCACCCTGGGATCAGGACCTGAGCTGAAGGCAGAAGCTTAACCGACTGAGCCACCCAGGTGCCCCCAAATAAATACATTTTAAAGTAGATTTTTTTCCCTACATTCTTACAGGAAAAAAAGTTTCTATTATACGTGCCATGAGTAATATTTGCATGATCTACTGAGCTATTATGTAGAGTCATAAAGTATATTTAATCTTTTCCTATCTTTCCCTGTTGTTCGAATAGTAAAATTAAATGTAGCAATATAAGCTAAACTACCAATGCCTCAAAGTCTAAAATTTCTGGATTTCTGGATGGCACATTTTCTTCTTCTTCTTCTTCTTTTTTTTTTTTTAAGGGAGGTAGGCAGGGGGAGGAGCAGAGGTAGAGGGAGAAAGAGAATCTTTTTTTTTTTTTGAAGATTTTATTTATTTATTTGAGAGAGAGAGAGAGAGAGAGCATGAGAGGGGGGAGGGTCAGAGGGAGAAGCAGACTCCCCATTGAGCAGGGAGCCCGCTGTGGGACTCGATCCCGGGACTCCAGGATCATGACCTGAGCCGAAGGCAGTCGCTTAACCAACTGAGCCACCCAGGCGCCCAGGAGAAAGAGAATCTTAAGCAGGCTCCATCGCAGTGCAGATCACGATCACGATGCAGGGCCTGATCCCACAACTCTTGAGATCACGACCTGAGTTGAAATCAAGAGTTGGATGTTTAACCAACTGAGCCACCCAGGTGCCCCTGGATGGCACATTTTCGATGTAAGAATTCACCTTCCACTATTCTATAGGACGATTCTGAATTCAACAACTGCTTTAGAGGTTGCTTAATAAAACAGAAACTCACTAATATTTATTCATTCAACAAATATTTATCAAGAGCATACTAGCCCTGTGCTAAAACTGGAAATTTTATTCTTCTTGAAAACAATTCTATTCTCTAAAAATCTGAAGCAGGGAGAACTCTGAAACTTTTCTTCATTGGAAGAATCCTTCTCTCAAAACCACGAGATACCACTTCATACCTAGCAAGAAACACTATTATCAAAAAGACAAGAGATAACAAGTGTTGGCGAGGATGTGGAGAAAAGAAAACCCTTCAGCACTGTTGGTGGGAATGTAAGTTGGTGCAGCCACTGATGAAAACAGTACAGACATTCCTCAAAAATTAAAAATAGAACTACCATATGACCCAGCAATTCTGCTTCTGCGTATATATCCAAAGGAAACTAAAACACTACCTCAAAAATACATCTGCACCCCTCATGTTCATCGCAGCATTTATGATAGCCAAGACACAGAAACCACCTAAGTGCCCACCAATGGATGAATAAAGAATAGTGTCTGTACACACACACACACGCACACACGTACACACACGCACACACACACTGGAACACTATTTAGCAACAAAGAGACAGAAGGAAATCCTGCTATTTGTGACAATATGTACAGACCTTGAGGACATTATGCTAAGTGAAATAAGTTAGAGAAAATCAAATTGTGTATGATCTCACATATACAGGGAATCAACCAAAAAAAAAAAAACAAAAACCAAGCTCATAGACACAAAGAACATACTAGTGGTTGCCTGAGGTGTGTGCGGGGGGTGGGTGGGGGAGATGGCAATATGGGGGAAAGGAGACAAAAGACACAAACTTTCAGTTATAAGAAGTAAGGGATGTAATATACAGCATGGTGAAGACAGCAATACTGTATTGTATATTTGAAAGTTACTTAAGAGAGTAAATCTTGAAAGTTATCACAAGAAAAAAACATTTAACTGTGTGAGGTGATGGATGTTAACTAGATGAGAAAGGCCCGGGGAATTGGGCCTTTTAACAGGACAACTGGGATCAACTGTGGGAAGATTTGAAAATCTTCATTGACAACTCTTCTGATCAAGCAAATGCATGGACAATGGAGCTGGTCCAGGCCCCCCGCCACCTCTCAGACAATGAGGTACTGAAACTCCCCCACGCTTCGCTCCAGCTGTCACCCTATTAATGCAAGGACATTGAGAGTAATGCTGGAGATTCCTGCTGTCAGTCTTGTTTTTAATATCTCACATATAGTCAAAGTTATATCCATTACCAAGTGAAAAACCCAGAACAGGGCTATCTGGTATTTTTAAAAAGACTTTGTAAGACACAAAGCTTGCAATTAAAAAGTTATTTATTAAAAAATATTTCCTTCTAATTCTGATTCCATATCAAATTAAACACAGAGTGATGTTACAAAGCAGTAAGTGATCAGCTCTGTTTGTATAGAGGCTGACAATGACCTCATGAATTCCTTAGTATATTCTACTAAATAGTGGAATACAAATTCAACTCATTCACTTCTGCACAAAAGGGAAATATAATTGGTATACTTCATACCAAAAAGCTTTTATAAAGCTTGTCTTCATATTTCATAGAGATTTATTTAATATAAAATGATGCTTGGTAGCTTTGGCAGCACGTACAAAATGATACTTGCTTAAAAGAGCATCCAAGCAATGCTTTGGATGTTCCTTTCCTGCAAAATTCCAGGAAACCATGATTGTTTGGAAGGTTCTTTGCTGCTCACGAAGAACCACCTGAGATTCCTTTCTGTTTCTACTATTCATGTTTCCAGTGATTAAAACATGCTGGAAACATAATTTAGAGAATACTAGAAATGCCACAGAGATCCCAAGGCTTAAAAGAGTTTCTGACAGGTTTTGAAGTTTTTAAAACTTCAAATGAATGTACAGGATACGGGGATTTAAAAAATGACTTTTAGAAACACACACTCCAAGGAAATACTTTAGTACTCTTTAGCATTGAACACTTGGGGCGAGAACTGGTCTCTTTCAATGGTTCAAGTAGTCAGTCTTTTCTCAACAGTTTCTTGATAAGCGACAAACCTTCTCAAATTCATCTTCACATTGTCGAGAACACACAGCTGATCTGGACTGTATTTACCTCTCCCTTCTTTTCGTATCTGCCAAAAAATCATACGTGATTTGGTATACATTACTAATCCCTTTAGATAAGAAAGCATTTGATTTGGGGTGTATTCTTTTCAGAACAAAGAGCTGCCAGAATTTGGTGAAAGATTTTCGCTTTCCAAGGTAAAAGAATACAGTGTGTGAGCCCTAAAGATAAATTAAGATTATGCACCTTTTAAAAATGATCGTTCCAAGAACGGCTGAATTGTAGACTTTAAAACAGTAAGTTTTATGCTATGTGAACTAGACTTCACCTCTAGTCTAGAGCAGCGGTTCTCAGATTTTAGCAACAGTATCATCTAGAAAGCTTGTTAAAAAACAAGGCCCACCCACCATTTCTGATTTTCAGTAGGTCTGGAGTTGGGCCTGGGCATTTGCATTTGTAACAAGTTACCAGGTGATTCTGATGCTGCTGATCACAGGGCATTCCTGAGAGCCAGTGCCCTGGAGAAGTTCCTCAACAAAATGCATTGTATCATACTGAAATGCAACTTGGGGCTAAATATATACCCGACAGTCTTTAATGCAATTGTGGCTTCATTCACAGAAGAACATATGAAAAACTACAAGCTGCCCTTCTGGCTAACAAAGAAATTTCATTAGGGCTTTATACCTTTGAGAAAAGAAAAACACTTAATGAAACATCATTACCATAGCAATGCATAGTAAGTAGGAAAATCAATCAGAACAGCCCTCCCAGTGATTAGGGGTTGTTTTGCTGGTTCATAGTTTACATAACTCCTCTCCGAGCATTTGCTTCTGCAGGCTGAATTCTCAACTATATCTGCTTTCCCTGCAGCTGCAGAGAAATAGGGGATATTTTCTCCCTACCGTGCAGACTCCTTTTTCAGATGTTTCAAGGGCCTGCCTGCACCCTTTAAGAACACTATGGATACCCACCACGTACTGGTATGGAAATATCTTTAGGAGATAATGTTAAGAGAAAACACACAAAGTACAGAATTGTGAATATATTAGGCTACCTTTTGGATAACAAAGGGGGGAAATACTAATGCACATCTGTCTTTACGTGGAGAAACGTCACTCAATTTGGTTACCGAGGAGGCAGAAAATAAAGGGAATAAAACCTCTCACTTCTTAAAGAACAGACAAATATGGGTGAACAGAGAGTCAAAAGGCACAAACTTCTAGTTATAAGCTAAATAGGTCATGGGAATGTAATGTTCAGCATGGTGACTCTGATTGTATATTTGGAAATTACTATGAGAGTAGAGCTTAAAAGTTCTCATCAAAAGAAAAAAAAAATTTCCAACTCTGTGTGGTAATGGATTTAACTAAACTTACTATAGTAATTATTTCCCAATATGTACATGTATCAAATCACTATGAACCACTAAAACTAATACAATGTAATATGTCAACTGTATTTCAATTAAAAAAAAAAAAGCAAAAAAAAAAAAAAACCTACAGGCTTGAACAAAGCATAATTAAAGGTAAATTGTTCAATTGTTTACCCTAGATTTAAGTTACCTACTGGTGAATCTTAACTCAATAAAGGTTAGCCACTATGATTACATTTTTTAAATATAAGATGCCCAAACATGAAAACGTTAAAAACAAACCAATACTGATGTCCTTGAACCAACACTGACTTTAGATGTAACTACATCATGGAATGTTTATGGTGTGTGTTGCTAGTTTTCTAAAGAAAATGATTTATTCCTTAAAAAAAACTTCAGAAAATTTAAGTTACTAGACATACAATCATATTCTCCTAAAAAATTAACACAGAGTTCTCTCCTTGAGAAATCAATTCTGAATTAGAAGCTTGTTAGATAAAAGAAATACATATTGGGGGCGCCTGAGTGGCTCAGTCGGCTAAGCTTCCAACTCTTGGTTTCAGCTCAGGTCATGATCTCAGGGTTTTGAGATCGAGCCCCATGTCCGGCTCTGCACTCAGCAGAGTCGGCTTGTCCCTCTCCCTCTGCTCCTCCCCAGGCTCTCTCTCTCTCTCAAATAAAAAAAACAAAAACAAAAGATATACATATTGAAAACAACAGAAGTAAGCTAAGTTTTCATCCAAACCTCTATTTTCTTGGCAAAGATTTAAAAACAAATGTTTAATTTGAAATCTAAAAGCAAAAAATACAAACATTTTTATTTCCCAAAACGACATAATTTAGAAATGGAAATTTTGTTTGTTGGTTTGTTTTTTAAGTAAACTCTATGCCTAACATGGGGTTTAAACTCATGACCCCGAGATCAAGAGTCATATTCTCCACCGACTGAGCCAGCTGGGCGCCCCTAGAAATGGAGATTTAGATAATTGGAGAATGGTAAACTTAAACTTATAGACATAGGATTCAAGGCTGTTTTTAAAATTCCTGGTGCCTTCCCCTGGCCACCAAGTTACTGAAAATTACTTTTGACTCAAAGTTAACTTTGATGATTCTGGTGAAACAAAAAAATAAATAAAAGGGTAAATGAAGGGAGCTACATTCTCCGACAGAGACCAGCCTGGAGTGTGCCCTTTTTTTCAGAGCACCAAAGGGAAATATTCGTAACATTGAAATCAAGCTGTAATGTATTAGCTGTAACGACATAAAATAAATTCACAACATGTCCGAAAGTGCTTTGTAGGCCACAGACCGGAGCTTCTCCACAAGCACTGTGAGCATTACTGAACTCTTCTAGAAAGGGGACCGTGCCCACACCATTCTGGCCCAAGTCACAGTGATTCAACAGAAAGGCCTGAGCTCTGACTCAGCCAACAAGCATTCTTCAGTTCCGGGGATGAAACACTCTATGAATCACAGAGATTGCATGGAGGAAACTACAGGCCCCCCTTCTTGGAGGATGGTGAGACCTAAGCATTTACACACAAAACAGCTACATACCTTCATTTTGAAGACTGGCTGGAATTCCTTCAGAGCAGATAACAATTTAATCTGAACTGAGGCCCTTTCAGCTTCTTTACCATCTGCGAAAACATCGAAGAGAGCATCCAAGGCTTCTCCTGCCACCACGAGGGAGGGATCTTTGGTGGCAACTTCAAGCAGAAAGCACCCAATGGTCTGTAGACAAGGCACACTGTTATTGTCCAATATTCTAATATCAGTTTCCAAAATAAGTACTAACTTTAAATGTGGCAACAATTCACACATGGTATTTTAAAATTTAGAAATGCCAGAGACAAATTAAAACTTTGAAAGAACTAAAGATTAAAGACTTCACATATATTTATAAATACACCATGTATAATATCAACAAGATAAATTAAGTATATTAGAGTTTATATTCCTAAATAAAATCAATTAAAATTCATAAATGATATGTGAAAGATTGGTTTTGGAAATTAAAATTTCCCCTCTATCTCCTTCAAAAAGGCTTTCCCCGTGGTGTCAAAATACAGATATGTATCTGCAACAAAAAAATATGCTTTTAAAATTATATGAAAAAATAAAATTATATGAAAAACACTCCAGGACAATTAAAAAAACAAAGAACACTTAATTTCTTTCTGATTCCCTGTGATGATCTTTAACACCCATCCATCCTTTGATGATTAGCTAGCTCATGAACAGGCCATTCCCAATCTGTCAGGAACTGTTCAAGAGTGAACTTACTTTGTTTTGGCTGTCCTGCTTCACCCTTTATTTATTAAGGGTGATGTGCACATCTGGTATTATCAGTGGGAGAGTGGAAATGCTAAGAACAGTGAGTCCAAACTCCAGCTGTGACATAAATAACAGGCTGACCCTTAGAAAGTCCATTACCCACTCTGGACCTCTATTTTCTTATCTGAATTTAAGTACTCTAGATAACCTCTAGGATAGTATTTAGAGTTAATAACTTATAATAAAATACGAAGCACATACTGTCACCTATGAAGTAGTCTTATTAAAAAAATTAACCTGAATCTGAATCTGACCCAGCCTTTAGATCTAACTTCCAGTTTGCAGAAAATACAGAGGATAAAGAATAAACAAGCTTAACACCACAAGGAAGCAATCAGACAAATCCAGAAGGTTGGATACTGTGAGACAACCACCCCCAGGAGTTGAGGAAAAAACAGGTGGTAGCAGAGGTGCCTGGCTCGCTCAATCAGTAGAGCATGCAACTCCTGGTCTCAGAGTCATGAGTTCAAGCCCCATGTTGGGCCTAGAGCTAGGGAGGGAGGAAGGGAGGGAGAGAGGGAGAAAAAAAAAACAGGTGGCGGGAGGTAGTGCTAGGGAGAGAAGTTTCTAGATTGAGAGAAGCTTAGAAGATCCAAAACCGAACATAACATGTAGACTTGACTTAGATGCTCGTTTAAACGAACTATCTGTAAATAGATGTTTTTGGAACAACTGGAAACACTTGAGGATGGACCATGCAGAAGACATATTAAACAATGAGGGGGCACCTGGGTGTCTCAGTAGGTTAAGCGTCTGCCTTTGGCTCAGGTCTTGATCCCAGGGTCCTGGGATGGGGGCCTGTGTCAGGCTCCCCGCTCAGTGGGGAATCTGCTTCTCTCTCTCCCTTTGCTCCTCCCCACCACCCAGTCCTCCCCTCCCCCCAACCCTCAGCTAGTGCTAATAAATAAATAAAATCTTCAAAAAAAAAAAAAAAAAAACAGGGGCGCCTGGGTGGCTCAGTTGTTAAGCGTCTGCCTTCGGCTCAGGTCATGATCCCGGGGTCCTGGGATCGAGCTCCGCATCGGGCTCTCTGCTCCGCGGGAAGCCTGCTTCTCCCTCTCCCACTCCCCCTGCTTGTGTTCCCTCTCTCGCTGTGTCTCTCTCTGTCAAATAAATAAAATCTTTAAAAAAAAAACCAAAAAAACATGGGGTGCCTAACTGGCTCAGTCAGTTGAGCATCTGCGTTTGGCTGAGGTCACGATCCCAGGGTCCTGGGATTGAGTCCTGCATCGGGCTCCCTCCTCAGTGGGGAGTCTGCTTCTCCCTCTGCCTGCTTGTTCCCCCTGCTTAAGTGGTCACGTTCTCTCTCGCTCTCTCACAAATATATAAATCTTTAAAAAAAAATTAAAAATTAAAATAAAAAAAGACATATTTAACAATGATGATTGATTGTATAAGGGTGATAATGATGGTTATGTAAGAAACTGTCCTTGGCTTTTTTTAAAGATTTATTTGAGAAACAGAGTGGGGGGTGAGGGGCAGAAGGAGAGCGAGAAGTAGACTCCCCACTAAGCAGGGAGCCTGACAAGGGGATCAATCGCAGGACCCTGAGACCATGACCTGAGCAGAAATCAAGAATCCGACACTTAACCGACTGAGCCGCCTAGGCACCCCAAAACTGTCCCTATTTTTAAGACATGCATACTGAATCAACAGGGCAAAATACCATGATGTCTTTAATACTGAGCTTTAACTTTAACATACTTTTAACATACCCAGCAAAGAAAGTGTATGAAGTGCATATGATAGAATATTAACGATTGTTAAATATGCTTAACCAATATACAAAATTCATTGTACTTTCTACTTTGCTTGGAAATGTGACTAAATAAAAACATTTTAGGGGCAGGGCATCTGGGTGGCTCAGTCGTTAAGCGTCTGCCTTCGGCTCAGGTCATGATCCCAGCGTCCTGGGATGGAGCCCCGCATCGGGCTCTCCCCTCCGCGGGAGGCCTGCTTCTGCCTCTCCCGCTCCTGCTTATGTTCCCTCTCTTGCTGTCTCTCTGTCAAATAAATAAAATCTTAAAAAAAAAAAAAAAAAAAACATTTTAGGGGCACCTGGGTGGCTCAGATGGTTAAGTGTCTGCCTTCAGCTCAGGTCATGATCCCAGGGTCCTGGGATTGAGCTCCACGTTGGGCTCCCAACTCAGTGGGGAGTCTGCTTCTCCCTCTCCCTCTGCCTCTCCCCCTGCTTGTGCTTTCTGTCTCTCTCTCAAATGAATACATAAAATCTTTACAAAAAACAAAACAAAAAAACATTTTAAAAATCACGTTATGCCCAAGAAAAACCTGCTGCTCCTAAGTGGATCTTGGAAATTATAGTCTTAAGCGGCAGGAAGTGATTAAACATACACATGCTCATCTGTGTATGTGTACACATACACAGCAACACGGCGATATTCTCTCTCAATTATGTGTCTATATATCAAAAATCCCTAGAGTAATAGAGAAGAAAGGAGTCACAGCGGCTGTCTCTCTAGAGTCAAAGCGGGGGGCTGGAAAGTTAGCAATGGAGATGAGTCTTTCATTATATATGCTTTTCTACTTTTGTGAATGTTTTGTTAACATGCAGGTATCATCTTTTCAAAATAAGGTTCTTAAAAAACATCAGTCATTGGGGCCCCTGGGCGGCCCAGTCCAGCTAAGCGTCCAATTCTTCTTCTTCTTTTTTTTTTTTTGAGAGAGAGAGAGAGAGAACGGGGGAGGGGTAGAAAGAGACGGGGAGAGAGGGAAGCAGACTCTGCACTGAGCCCAACAAAGGAGTCGATCTCATCATCCTGAGATCATGACCTGAGCTGAAATCAAGAGTCGGCTGCTTAACGGACTGAGCCACCCAGGCGCCCCAAGTGTTCAACTCTTGATCTCGGCTCTAGTCTTAATCTCAGGGTCGTGAGTTCAAGCCCCACGTCGGGCTCCACACTGGGCATGGAGCCTACTTAAAAAAAAAAAAAAAAAATTAGTCATTGTTGTAAAGTTCTCAGCAAGTCCAATAGTCAGTTTATTACCTATTAATTAGTAATCAATATTTCAGCAATTATTATTAGCACAATGAAGGGTAATTTTACTGCCATGGTCCTTTTAGTTACCAGTGATGCTGTGTCTCCAGCAGTGTAGTTCCTGAGCAACTGTGCTGAAATAAAGTGCTGGAAGCAAATATGCTGAGTGAGTTCCTAGGGCGTATGCTGCTTAAAATTTATAGAGTGATAGAGTGGACTGTGCAGTATTGTTCAGAATGCACTTTAGCCTGGTGTACCAAGACAACTGGTGAGCTGTTCCTTTATCAGTAGGAGAATATAATATGCACACAGTTTATGCAACAGCAAAGGCAGAGGCACCTGGGACAATTCTGAACTTGGCCTTTCACTGAAGACAAATTTATATCTGAAAAAGTATCTCAGGAATAAAGTGGCAAAATGCAACTCAATTTTTCAAGTACCTACCTAATTCATATAGTCAGATCAAGCCAAAGGGCATATTTTAATAATGTACCTTAGTAAGCAACTTCTCAACAGAATTTCTTCTTGTGATGTCCATAGAAGTTTTTAAAAATCCCACACCAACAGTTACTCTTCCCCGTTTCTAATGATTTAATGTTTTACATTGGAAGCATATAGTTTTACCTTAAGAGTTTCCAGTGTTCCATCTTCTTTGGCAAGGACGCTGCCCGTGATTCCTAAAATACTAACAACGTTTACTCTAACCCCAGTATTACTACTATGAATGCCGGCTGTGCATAGTGTCATCAACTGGTCGGGAGTCATACACTGTTGAAAAGGAAAAAGAGTAAAGTGTTAAACTCAACCAATTCCAAGAGCATGCACCACAGGACTGATGGGAATGTCAACAACAGAGAAGTTATTTCATACTCTAATCACTCCTCAGGAGAGCTGGTAATCCTGATGAGGGTGAGGCCTGTTCATGTCACTGCCATTATTCAACCTACCATAGCTGTTAAGCCTAGAAAAGGGGCTTCGTTTCCTATTAGTTTCATTTAAAGAAGACTTTTGGGAGGCACCTGGGCAGCTCAGTCAGCTAAGCGTCTGCCTTCAGGTCAGGTCATGATCCCGGGGTCCTGGGATCGAGCCCCATGTTGGGTTCCTTGCTCAGTGGGGAGTCTGCTTCTCCCTTTCTCTCTGTCTCCCCTCCCACCCCACTTGTGTTCTCTCTCTCAAATAAATAAGATCTTAAAAAAGAAAAAGACGACTTTCAGTCAGATGTACACAAACTAAAGAGATCCTAATTTCTTTTTAACACTGATCATAAAATGTTTTGAAAATGTACATAGAATATGTGGCTTTAATAAAAATTGGCTGAATCTATACAAGTTAAGAACTTACCCTGAGATGTTATGCTGTTACAGTAAATTATTAGAGCTTGTACAAACCATTAAATTATAGAGTGCTTCTCTTGTGTAGTGATAATTTTCATTCTAAGCTAATCTGAACACACACATGGGTGCAGGTATCACCAGAGAATTCAAATATCATGTTGTCAGGCTATCACAGTGTGATGACTAAGGGCTTGGGATCTGACATCCTAGGTTCACATCCTGGCTCCTCTCCTTACCCTTCAGCAATCCTGCGTAAGATACTCCCCCCGACAAAGGTCTCTCCATTTCCCCATCAGTGATATGGGGACAACAGTCACCATGCAGAGTTGCTAAAGGATTAAATAATGCATATCAAGAACTTAGTAAATATTAGATAATATTATATATAAAATACTGAACAGTTCTAAATCAAACTAATTTCCAAATCATCTGCAGTGCTTCTGCCAAATCTAAAGGTAACAGCTAATATGTCCAGGTTTCTTAGGAAATACTCTAATGGAAACAACCCCACCAACCCTGGGATTCCTCCCAGCCAGAACAAGGCTGCCAGGAATGCTGAAGCGTGCTGCTTTACTACCCGTATGAGTCACAAATGCAAGCTGCCCAAGGGGCACAAACCGACAAGGCAGAGAACTGGACAGGAGCAGGACAGCTGTACTCCACTGTTGGTACTGTTACTCAGCATCTCTGGTCCCTGGTCCCCTCTCCTTGTAAAGTATGAGAAAGCCAGGGTCCTTCTAATCCTCAAATTCCATGCTCACGCCCAATACACAGCCAACCTGAGAATTTATGGTCTTAATATATATGAATGCCCAGACATTAACTGAGCATGAGCCGGGAATAATTCTCTTTAAACGCCAGGCTGATCCAGTTAGCTACTGCTGAAGATCATGGAAAATCAATAAAAATACTTTATATTCCCATAGGCCCTATAGTATAGGGTTTTCTAACCCTTTCATCATTATTACCATTCCCATGTCAAAGAAACTGAGGGTCAAAAGTTATGTTCTTGAAAAAAATTCTCAAATATACAAAGAAAAAAAATCGACAGAGTATACACTAGATGCCAACCACACATACAGTATTTGATAGTAAAGTACCAGAGGCATTCTCATTAAACTGTGGAGCAAGATAAAGTTTGGGAAGCACTGCTCCAGGGTGTGGCCATGGAATGACTAAGGTAGAGAAGGAAGATCAGATCGTTGGAGAAAGGGAGGTCCAAGAACTTCAAAGCCAAGGGACTGGGGGGAGCATCTATGTGGATCTTGAAGTCACCTAGAATCATGACAGGACTGGCGAAGAGTAATAAAGCCCAACAGCAGGAATCTTCAAGGAACAAAGAGTGCCCCAGGGCATGGTAGATGGCTGTAACCAAGAGAAGTGGGTGGTACGGTCTAATGACATGTTAATCAAAACTGGAAGATTTTAGAAAGGAAGGAGCAAGGATGGTTTAGCACACAGGTCCCCAAACTTAGTGTGCATGCCAATCACCCAGAGAACTTGTTAAAATATAGATCATTGGGCCCCTCCTCAAAGTTTCTACCTCAGTGGATTGGGGGCAAGGCCCTAGGATTTACTCTTATATACAAAGAAAAAGACCACCAACCCAATAGCAAAACTGGCAAAAGATAGGAACAGTTACAGAAAAAAAATGCAAAGGCCTTTAAAGCACATAAAGAGACAGACATCCAATCTCATATCGTAAGACAAATGCAAATTAAAATTGAGATATGTCTCAACTATCAAACTGGTAAAAATCTAACATTCTGACAACTCTGCTTCTGAAGCTATAGCAAAACATGCACTCTCAAGCACTGCTGTAGGAAATTCAAAATGCCTCAAATTCTAAGGAGCGGACTACAGCAATAATTAGCAAAATCACCAATCCACCTATTCTCCAACTCAGCAAGCCCACTTCTAGGACTCTAACTCGAAGACACAATGGCAAAAACACAAAAAGCATCTGTAAAAAGGCTATTCACTGCAGTTCTATTTGTAATAGCAAAGGACTGGAAATGAGAACACCCATCAACAGGGCTGAATGAATAAGGAACACCTACACGATGGAGTAATAGAATGTGAAACTGTAAAAGAGAAATGAGGAAGATACCTGTATACTACGATGATTAATAAGGGAGAAAAAGAAAGCAAGGTGCAGAGGCACTACTTTTAACAAAAGGGGTGAAATACACATGCCTACGTATTTGCTTATGTTTTCAAAATAAGAACAATGGAATGATAAATCAAAACACAAAAAAGGGGTGCCTGGGTGGCTCAGTTGGTTAAGCGACTGCCTTCGGCTCAGGTCATGATCCTGGAGTCCCGGGATCGAGTCCCGCATCGGGCT